ACTTCCACACTTGTCGGGAGACCAGTCGGGAACTTAAAACTTTACCCGGCTGAGGCGGTACCCCGCTGGTAGAAGATACCTGTTTGGGGAAAACCCCGCAAGCCGACGCAGGTCGACATCTCGAATCTCGCCAGCCAGCGAAGATCACCGCCATCTCTCACGATAAAAACATACTCTACACTAACGGGAATAATGAACTTAGCAATTAGCGCGCCCGGAATCAATCAAATCTAAGTGGCGTATCAAAAATAAACAAAACAAATGGGCAGCGAACAAAACACAATGTCCATTGTTGAGCATGCAAAAAATCGTCGAGCTCACACGTTACGAACAACTTGTGATGCATCAGCAGAATCTATACTTGTCACTTGTGCTTCGATAAAAACTCATTCACGAGCACGGAAGGAATATATTCTTAAAACTTGCAGGCAAGAGTGATCCCGTCATGGCTGAAGGTGATGTGCGATTAGAAACTCAGGTCAAACAGCTATGTTTTAGACTACGTTGTATGTCCCAGCACTACGAAATAAATTCTGCTGCATCTTGGAAGATTGTTGACAACGACTACGAAGTTACGTTTGCGAAAGAAAAGAACTTAAATTTCGTTTGATAAGTAAACTGGCAACTGTTCAGATGTATCACATCAGCGTTCATTTAGGAGCAGTTTTCATCTTGAATTAGTTGCCGAGCAGGGGAAAAACGACCCAAGAGATCTTCTAGGTAATTTAATTGGATATCCTTACTGCTCAAAGGAGTATGTGTATGGATTCCTGAAGAGGGAAATGTTTTCATCTTCAGGGATGTAAAATTACTTTATAAATTTAACTCCGAGAACTTGTTTGAAGACTTTTTGCCTAATGAAGGTTCAGTCGAGCAACATCCAAGAGAAATCAATATCGTCCAAAACATTCAGGAAGATGACAATCTAGATGCCATTGATTCATCATTCCGATGGGTTGAAGATGCCTTTTAACAATAGTTAGTTCGTTATTTAGACACGTTGTATTAATTCAAAATAAAAATACGCAGACGAGCTTTAAGTCACCATCGCTTACAAACTGCTTTCATCAATTATTGTGCAAAGATTTTGTTTGTTTTCAAAATTGTTTAATGTAATATATAAAACCTAATACATAAAAACAGGAATCACACTAATAATTTTCTAGACCAGTACAAATAAAACACTACTATATTGTCGGGTTATACAAGGACACAGTGATGGCTGGCAATTTTATAATCGAAATTTTTCTTATCAGTTTTTTGTTGTTTAGAGGCTTACTAAAATTGCAATTATTACATTATTTCCATACTTGACTCTGAAGATGGGGCAAATTCAATTGAAGTCACTCACATGCCTGAACGGCCGATCAGAAATGGGAAGGCTGACTCTGTTCCCGCAATTCTATTATCAGCCCTTTGTTACTGGGAAAACTACCCTACCAGATTTTTTTTTCACTCGATACCTTCTCATGAATATGTTATGGAGCCCCATTAGTGAAGCCATGAAAGAGGCAGAAGTATAGCTTGCTTGTATGTTTCCTGGGACGTTATCTGATAGGGCCATTAGTCTCATAAGTGTAGTGAATGTTTTATCCCGGGATGTTGTGATGTTTCTCTCCCGCTGGGTGGAGAAATGCACTGCAGCCCTACACGTCGGCTTGAAAGGGATTTTCTCTCCAGGTATCTCCCTCAGCAGGATACTGACCCAGCCGGGACAAATTCTAAGTGCCGAACGGATCTCCCGACATTTACGATAATGTAGTGCATGTGTGTGTTTAATGAGAAAGGATAGGAAAAGGAAGAAGAAGGAAAGATCAAGCGCTTTTGTTAGGGAATTGCTCCGTCATTCGTCCGGTATTGATGGGAAAAACCACAAAAAAACTACCGATCGGAACGGGTCTATCAAAGGGCATGTAATAGACTTTTGAACCGGTATAAGAAATAGATATAACTCAAATGAAAGTCTATACCGAAGAAAGGTGGGGGCAGTTTCTCGACGCTTCAGAGGTCTGGTATAGATTTCATGAGCGCATTTGGTCTAGTAGCCCAAAGATAACCCTTCCGCTTACTTGTAGCTCCATCAGAAGAACTCGACTTTCAAGTCTCACGAGTGAACATCACAACGGACGTCGTCACGACATTATTAATGGACCAGCGAAAATATATGGAAAAGGTTATCTCCAAGATCAGGAGATACCGGAAGGATCTAACAAATCAAGAATAAAATTCTAAGCACCTTAGATGTGAAGGGCCTTGAACCTATCAATTACAAACTTAGTATAACCTTATGCTAGAGTGGTTAGCCTCTATAGAAAGAGGGGGCCAACTTCATTTCGGGGCCCCTTTTACTTTCTCGCTTTGGAGTAGAAAGAAAGTTATGCAATGCTGCGCGGGAGAACGGCGATTTTTCGACACAAAAATTTTTATTACGGGGCCCTGGTAACGAAAAGGTGGATAAATCCAGATGCTTAATTTAGAAAAAAGATCTAACAGGTGGTGTAGCCAGAATCCATGTCTTTTTAGGTCCTTGATACTGAAAAACCGAATGACGACAAAACGTCAGTCTGTCTGTCCGTCCGTCCGTCCGTCCGTCCGTCCGTCTGTCCGTCTGTTTGTGAACAACTCTAGCAGCTAAACACTTCGGCCGATTTACTCCAAAATTGATGTTCCCCTATCGATCTGGCGTATGTCGCGTCCCCTTGAATTACAAACCGATAATTTAATTTTGGAGGGGGCGCTTTACATGAAGCCCCTGGGACATTTTCCAAATTTAAAAAAATGGTTTCATCGTTTTTGATTATTTTTTTGTTGGAGAGTGTGAAGGACGTTTAAGAGAATAATGCTGGTCTCGTGTTCGTAAAAAACCTTGATTTTTTGAAAATGGCACAAGTTCAGCATTTTTCCGGAGTCTTCCTACAAGTAAAATGTTAGAGTTAGAGATTTTTTCTTTTAAGAAAATATCTTTTAAGATTGATTTTGAAATAAGAACTTGTACAAAGTTTCGAAAATTTGAATACTTTTCGCGTAATTTTTCGTGAAAATACGGGCGAGAAAGTACGTGATGATTTAGCACCACTAGTTTTCATTAAACTTCTTTATTTTCATCTAAGGTTTTATTGGAGTAAATGAAAAATACAGCAAGGAGAATGAAATTATCAGTTAAGTAATACAATTTACTTCATGTTGAACCATTTACAGATGTCTTGAAGAGCCTCTTCCTCAAACACAATACAACAGTTCACCAAATTATCAGGGTTAAAAAAGGATAAAATAAGGGACTGAACATATTTAAGAAAAAATATACTTTACTGCTTGAGACTAGGGGGCTCTTCAAAAGTTTCAAGGAAGCCACACACCCCCACCCACAGTCTTCCCCTCTATGCACTCCTATTTATACATTGATATAAAATACAACTATTCATGCTTAAGGTGGGATTCAAACTACCAATCCTTTGAGAAGAGAAAGTAATGGTTTTATTTTTTACATAAAATCCTGTGATGTCTTTCATTGATATGAAGAATTTTATATAATTTATGTAAGAGGTATTAGTATCCAAATTATTTCTCTCCTCTTTTTATTTTTTCTTCTTCTCCTTCTTTATTTTTCTTCACAACAATATTCCCAAATGGAGTTGTCGAAGTGAATTAGCCTTTATTTGCATCCATGCATTGTCCAACTTACATTGATTTTTGACCTATCTTCCTAATATAATATTTTTGGTTCTCTCTCTTATTCCTCACAGATTCATTTCTGTTACTCTTCTTCACACAGAAACTAAACACTTTTCTTTTGTAGAACATTCATGTTCCTTCTATTTGTCATCAAAACCCAAAAATCTGCGCTCTTTACTATAGTATTGGTTTCACAGAAACTTTATGTATCTTACATACAAAAGTTATGTAATTTTTTTGCACAAATTTAGAACATTAGTGAACAATATTAGTTCTTAATATTTTTCAGGTCTAATTTGATAATCAATATTCAATGCAGTTTTGTTTATGTTATTTGTACAAGTTGTTTTGTCTATATTTAATAGGCTTGTAACTACATCTTTCGAAGGCTTGTTTTAATTTATTCACAATCCTGCATGACAGACAACTCCTTAATTCAGATTAAAAAACCGCTGACTTGAAATTGACTTGACTACTGAAAAATCAATTACTTTTTTTCTGTTTGAGTTTTTCTTTGTCACTAGAATGAATTATTTGTTGTAGGTTTAAAAACTGAAAGCTTCATGAAGCTTTACTGAATTTTCTACTTTTACGTTATAACATGTTTTTATGTACTTTTTTTGTGTTTTTTATTGTTTTTTGCTGTATCTCGTTCATTATAATTAAAATGCATATCTATGTGGTCTGTGAACTGGTGAATAGCACATCCATCTATGTATGATTGTAAGCTTCGTAATGACTTGTGTGTTATTATGAATTTAATGTAACTTTTTTTAGCTAGGAGAGAAATTTAATAGAATTTTTAAACACAACTGTTAACATTTATTATCATCTTTACATTTGAACAGTTTTACAATGTATGATATAAAAAATTAGAAACACAACTATGAACATTTCTTATAAACATTAACTCTAATACTTTACCGTGCTTGAGCCTTTTTTGCTCATATACGTACACAGTAAAGGTAATTGTTTTTGGATGTATTGAAAGTCCTTCACTAAAATCCAATTAGAATTTTTCCCAAACAAATATAAGCTTTTTTAATGAAATAGCATTGCTGAAATTAGGGTTTTTAATTATATGTATATGTATATGTATATGTATATATATATGTATATGTGTATGATACATACATATTATATAATATATATATATAATATATATATATATATATATATATATATATATATTATATATATATATATACTATAGTATATATGTATGTATATATTGTAATTTTCTTTTTCCAATTAAAATTTGCTAATTGATTGAATTATTATATAGAGGTTTATGATAATAATCAATGTTGTTTTGTTGTTTTTTGAAGGATCGATACACATGTGCAAGTAGTACATGGTCTTTTGCTGTTACTCTTTGGGAAATTCTTAGTTTGGCAAGAGAGAAACCCTTCCAACATTTGAGTAATGAGCAGGTGGTTCAGAATGCAGAACACATGTACTATGGTGGAGAACTTCAGGTGATTTTCAATACTTTACATGTTTTGGAACATGTGTTTAGAAATGCATGAATATTCAGTCACACAACTTCTCAACAAGTCAACTCATCGTGTCAATACTGTTTTGTAGTAATAAATATAATGAAATTTATTTATAAATTACAGAGGTGGCCAAATTATTAGACTAAATATTTTTTCTCTGACTTAATGGATTATAATGAGTCCAGAGATGCACTTGAAAAAAGTAACCGTTTAAAGTATAATGTTTTTTAAACGTTATTGGAAATACACAGTTATTGCTACAATGAGGTATAATGAATACTTAGAGACCTAAATAATTAACGGTTCCCTCATATAATGAGTTGTTTGAAAAAAACAATGATTATTTTCCCTTTCACAAGAGGAAAGAAAGTTGGAAAACATCTTTAATAGATTAATCAGTCTGGGTTTCAATGGGCTGCAAATAGCTCTGACATGAATCCCATTGAAAATAGTCACTCGAGAGTTAAAAGAATCTCAAGTAGAGGAGGCCATAAAAACCAGCTCATAAAACAACTCATTCTTATCTCACAAAAGGCACTCAAATTGAAAGAATGGATTAAAAATTGATTTTCAACATACCTCAGAACAAGTATGATAATTATGAAATGTTTATAAAACATGAGAAACATTAGAACCCTGTACACAGAGTGTGTCATTACCTACAATTGCAAATATTTTTTGTCATATTCAATAAATGTAGTCTAATAATTTGCCACCTCTGAAGGTCTAATTTGTATTTTTCATTTTTTGTGGACTTTTGTTTTTTATTTTATTTTTTATTGTTTTTTAGTGTTACAAGAATATTTGATGTTGCGGTACATAATTAAACTATCTAGACCTACATGCTTAAAAGTTATTTATGATAAAAGCAATTCATGTAGATAATAAAATAGTTAATTTATGAATTTTCATATTGATATTTTAGGGAGAATGTTATTAAAATTTGCCGCCACCTTCCTTAGTGACAATCTTGTATATGCACAGTCTAAAACAACAGAAGGGGGTCAACTTCAGTTCTAGACTCATTTCTCCATTAAACTTTATTACTTACATATGATACTGTATTTTAGAAAATAAATAAAACATATACAAGGAGAATGCAATTCTATATTATAAAATACAGTTTATAAATACAATTGAATTTTAAGCTGATCCATTTTGTGGGTGTCAAAAATGTCTTGGAGAACCTCTTCCCAGAGTGTTGTATAACAATTTCCCAACTCATCAGGTTAAAAATGAGAGGTATTAAGCATAAAACATATTTAAGAAAATAAAATGTTTTATTTGATATGATAACCCCTTTCAAAATTAACAGCCCCCCGTCCCCCCTCTCTTTGGTAATAATATTTACATAAATTAGAAATCTCTTCACTAAGTGTTCATTAAAGTTCTTAGTTGTCATAAGATTGCTCAGAGTAGTAGTGCAATGTAGAGTGGCATTAGGCATGCACAGCCTAAGCCAAGAAGGGAGACCAATTACATTTCTGAGCCCCCTTTTCCATTATACTATTTTATTTAGATATTTGACTAATAATTAAATAAAACATACCACAAGCTGATTTAAATTATAATTGTAATGCTACAATTATTGAATAAAATTGATTTTTTGTTCAATCATTTATAAAATAACCAGATGGTAAAAAACTTCTTCGCCAAATATATATCAATTCTCCACAGTGTTAGTTCTAAAAAAGGGGGAAATTAGAAATTAATCATATTCACAGAAATAATATGTTTTATTACTAGGACTATGGGACATCTTTTAAAATTTTCAGAGGCAATGACTCCCATGAGCACACACCTATGACAGTAGACTGTTACAGAATACAAAGATAGCCATAAATGTATTCTCTCCATGTTTAAAAATGACTCGTGGTCAATATTTCTGATAGTTGTAGTAAAAAGTCATAGTTTTCCAAAATTTCTCTCACTGTGTAAGGAAATATTTCATGCAATATTTTGTTATCAGTATCACTGTTGTGTAATGGAATGAAGCAAACTATACATAATGATTTGCTTGTGACTATGTAAAATTTTTGTATGTTTATGTTTGACTTTTCTTATGTCATGGGTTTCATTAAAAATACAATTCCATCCATACAAAGGTTCATAGAGAAACATAATGCATGTATACTTGGTAGATACTAATTGTTTTCTGTTATTTTCAAGGTACTTCTACCCAAGCCACCTCTGTGTCCTGTTGATATATACGATTTGATGTGTGAATGCTGGCGCAGAGATGAGAGAGCTCGTCCAAGTTTCCGTCACATTCATGCATTTCTTAAATGTAAAAATGTAGGATATCATACAGGTGATTGAGGTAAGTTTCTGAAACATTACATTTTTTCTAAATGGCGAATTCAAAGAAAAGTGATGGCATGAGGTACTCTCAGGCAAGACGAAATGTCTCAATATTTGGAAATTTATTTTATGAGTTGAATTCATAGGAAAATAGAGTGTAAAAGAGTCATGTTTGTGATTAAGTGTTAATATTTTTCAACCAACATCATATTTTGCATTAAAATTTCTTTGCAGGGATTTCAGAAACAGGCTCATGACTCCTAACCATGAAATGAACAATAGCACAAAATCAGTATTGTAGCCCTACTTTTTCTTTAAAATTTCTTAGCGGTGTAATTTCTTAGCTGATCTTATGAGTATGAATGAATGAAGTTACAAGTACTTATTAGTTGATTGCAATAGTTAATTTGATAAGTCCAATTAGTATGATACTAATTTTTATTCTGGTTGTCACTTATAATATTTTATATTTTTGCAGTGCCTATTTAATTTTGGATAATCAAGCATTTAATAGTGTTATGAAGTTTCAGATTTTGACATTTCATGCTATTTTATTCAAATGAAACACATCAATTTACCAAACTCCTCAAAATGACAATCATCATCCCAACATTTCAGAGACTGTTCTGTCTTATCAGATGCTATAATTGAAGTGGAAAAAAAAATAATAATAATAAAAATATAATGTTTTTAAAAATTTCATATTTATTTTTGTAATCTATTAGAGACTGCAATAGTATACAAGCTCATTAAGTGTTGCCAATTTTGGTTTTACAAAATGATGATTCCTAATTTTTTGTGTTTCCCTAAGCTATTTGACCTTTCGTTCCAAAATTTGCCCCTAATTATTTATAAGTTCATGTTTTGTTTTTGTAATTAAATTGTCTGGTCTCACCAAAATATCTTAATTTGATTCTCAGAATACAAACTACAATTATAAGTAAAATGAACATTAGTGGATCTACAATTCTTTGACAAATGTGGAGTTAATCATATTGTCATCTGAAAATTTCATTGAAGATTGAGAAATTGAACTCAGATCAGTAAGGAAACATCCTTACATGAATATATTTCACGAGTCAAAATACTATCTATTCTTCACAATTCACCACAACATCAGATTATTACAATACAAAAAACACTTAATTTCAATTTTATTGAAATTATTTAAACTAAAATTTAAACTAATATTCCAATTTATTTAAACAAAAATATTAATACTGTTTTCTCTCTATATTAATATTTCTGTCTATATATTAATATCTCTTTTGTCAGTTTTCTCAAATCTATTAGGAGGGATTCTCCTGTATTTGAATGAAAACTTCTCTCAAGAAGAACAAAGCATTTGCAGATCCTCAACATGTATATAGAAAATAAAAATCAATGGAAACAGCCATTTTTCCTTTTATGAAAGATGTTTCTTAATCTGTGAATGAAAATAAAGCACCTATTGGAATACTTTTAAACTTTTGAAAGCTTGTAATGCTATTTACCATAAAATTGCTCTCAAAATTACCTGTGTATAGAATTCATAGTATTGCCCTACATTGGATATCCTCATATCTTACTCATTGATTTCAAAGAATAGAAATACCATAGAGGCACAAAAGAACATTATTTACTCATCTTTAGAATTCTTTGCCAATTAAGTGTGGGGTCCTGCAGGGTTTGATCGTAGGCCCTATCCTCTTTCTTTTATACATAAACAACATGCCCTCAACCATTAGAAATGGAAGAACTGTTCTCTTTACTGATAACATGAATGTTCTTTGCATGAAGGAAATAAAGAATAAATGAAAAGAATTTAGTTTTTTAGAACATGATTGATGTTGCTTACAACTTGCTTGACGTTACTATCTCATTTTTAAAGTTTTTTGTTCTGGGTTTGAGATCTGATAGTGGCAGGATTTTGGACACTAGCTAAAAAGCCAGGTTGAATTCAGCCACTGTATGAAGGAGAATTCTAGAGATGGCTGCTCTGATCAGAAGATTTTCATGGTTTCTTTGATCAACACCAGGTGAATGCCAGAGCAGAACCCTAACAAACAGGCCATGGACTGCACACAATGTTTCTTTCCTTTTTCTTGTCCTATCCTCACCCATTAGTTATAACACTTACACTTGGATGCACTTCACTATTACACTTGTCAGGAGATCAGTCAGGGAGTTTAGAGCATGTCCCAATTAGGGCGGTGGCCTGTTGTGAACTCCACCTGCAGAAACTGTTATCTGTTTTTCAATTGAATTTTAAAAGTATAATAAATATAGAACTGTATACAAAAATATACTAAAATAAAAACTGTGTTTGAAAAATGATCTAACATCCCATTAATAAATATTGAAGCAATTGTTGAAAACTTTTGCTAAATTTAATTAATTACTAATATTTGACAAAATCTGATGGCCTTACCATGTACCTGTCATGTCAACTCAAAATGGTATTCCTGTATTTAGACTTTAAAAGAAATTCGTATTTCATTTAGAGTGTAATACATGTGTGGAAAAGAAATATTATACTTTCATATTTGTTTCAGGCATATGAGCTTCATACACACTTCCGACTGTCGTTGAAGAAAGTGGAAAAAGATTTGGCAATAATGGATCTCTCTCATGAAAATATTGGTGGGTTACAAATATAATGAGACAATTAAAAAAGAATGTTTTACAGTATATATTAGAAAATAAAAATGTACATTCTCTAGCATTGTGCTTCCAAATCTATTCACATCAAGGCATGGATATTGCTCAGCATCAATACACCTGCTCCTTATGCCATAATGTGAGTAAATTTCTGTTGTTAAGACTACAAAGCTCAAATTATAAAGTGATGGAAAGAATAATTTTGTTGTAATATTGTGCATAGAGTAGGCAAACAAAAGCCCAGATTACTACTGACATTTCAAAACTTGGAAGTGCATTAGTTGCTTTAATAATTTTTCATTCAAGTTTTAATTCAGGATTAGTACTTGCAAGGATTAAAACCTACAGGAAATGGAGCTAATAATTAAGAAAAAGCTTCAGAACAAAGTTATTACGATCTAAATACACTGAAATGGTACTCAAAAATTGTATGAACTAGATACAAGGACTATTTTTAATCAGAAAAGGGTGTAGAAAATAACTTGAAGACAAGAAGAGCAGAAGTTAATCTCCGTGCTATCAGTGCACTTGGTAACATACTTGCCAAATCATAGTGTGATATGGAATATCGATCTCCCAGTATGAATCAACACGTGGGCTGATGACTTAATGAAGAATTTGGAAGTAAGCAAGAAGAATTTTTCTATATGTTGAGGGATAACCTTTTTTACCATTGTATTGGTCCAGCAAGGTATATTTGCCTTGATTGCATTTAAAATATATACATGCTGCTGTGTATTGTTGAAATTTGTATATTTCTTTGTACAGAGTGACTTAATCATGTTGGCCAATTCTCGATAAGTAAGAGAAAAGAATACAGAGATAAAGATGATTTTAAATTTAAATCACAAGCACATTCTGTACTTAATAAGAATAGTGATCTAATCTAATCATCTGGGAAAGCATAATGAAGCAGAATCAGCCACCATGTTTAAATCACTCCATCTAATTTGGTGCATTGAAGGGTTCTGTATGTAAAACATATCAAATATTATGGCAGGAATTATGATAATGTGAAGTGAAGTGTTCTCATTGTTACATAGTGCCCCTCAACTGCCAAAATATATTTCAGACTAATGAACAAGTCTGCACAGAAGTATTTGTGTTTTCTACACTGACTTTTGTAGAGTTTCTCATATCTGTGCAAACCTCTGTGATTTTAAATCTACTCTCTTTTAGACAAAAAGCACTTCAGAAAAATACATTTGAATTGATACATGCAAAGCCATCTTAACTCTCACTGGTTTTAAATTTTCAACTTTGTTGCATTAAAATTTGTATCCATAGAGAAGATTAGTGGTGAAGTTTTAATTATATTAACTTTTCATTAAATATGTCACTCTCTTAGTGATGATACATCTGTGAATTATTTTGGAATATTGTTTGTTTAGATTTAATGGTTGAATCATTTTATAATATGTTTAAGAATTGCTAAATATCTGAATTTCTTTTTAAATGAGATGGTGAATCCCTCTAGACCCTTAAGGTGGCTCTGAGTGTGTGCACATATAAATGCATTTATCAGTCAGTGATGTCTGATATCTTTGTTCTTGGGGCACTCTGTTCTGGCAACAGTTTTGAAATCTCTATGATGCATAAAAAACTTGTTCATTTGCAGCACATGCACCAAGCAGATATTTTTGAACTTTCTCTCTAGACATCAGGATGACAATGCATGCTCTAGAAAAAGAATGAGCTGTAATCAGAGGCTATCTCTGCTATATGTTACAACTTGCATGTATCGAATGTACTTCTTCTGAAACAGGAAAACTTTCTTAAGATTCAATGACTTCTGTTTCATGTCATTCTTAGTATCTTGCCATATTCACATATCTGTCTCTCTGTGCAACTGTTCATTTTTTCCTTGATCATTTTTCTTTTTCATACAACTTTTACTGCCACAAATATTCTTTTTCAAATATTTGGAGGTTTCCTTCTAATATTTTCCATTTCACGATTCATTGTAGACCATCTGTGACTTTAATGTCTACTGATGTTACCTGTTTAAATTATGGTTAAATGTCTTTAATCAGTTATCACATCATATCTGATAGTTCAGGGATTGCTAAATCCACTCTTTCAATTTTTTTCCCCACATGTTTTCCTTGACTCTGTAAGGGAAATTGAATCAAATACTTATCTAATATGTATCTTTCTTGTAGTATTTATTTCTTCTTTTCCTCAAAATACTTCAAGTTTCCAAATTTTTAAATAATTATTTATATTTAGACAAAGCAAAGTATTTATTGTAGTAGGAATGTACAAATTGGAACTCATTTAATGATCCAACAAAGGCAATAAAAACAATACAAAAATATTTATATGTATTATCAAATGAATTGCAATACAGTAAAGTAATGTAAATGCTAAGACTCTAGAGTTAGAATATCCAGAAACTTTTATCATTTTCGCTTATCAAAGCAAAGTAGTTGGAGTAGTTACAGATCACTACTAATGCTTTCTGTAATTTAACAGAATTTTACTTCGTATTGTGGTAAAAAAAACATTACAGAAAATTGTGTGGAATATTCTATGTACGGAAATAGACTGAATATATTAATCTTTCTTTATTTCTTCTCCTGAAGAACCAACACTGCTTACATTTAACAAGTTTGCAACATCTGTGTTATGTAAATTCAAAAATGTTATCCAATACTGAAAGTACAATTATATATAAATAATTTAATATACATCTTGTTTTGCCTAAAAGTCATCAGTAGTTCAGTACTACATTAATATAATAAATTAATGAATCTGAGTAAATGATGTATCATTTTACATGATTATCATTTGTTTATTACACAAGCCAGAAGAGACAGTTGATATTAGATTGTTACTTGTTTGAATGATAAAGTGTTGCTTTCTGTGAATCTGACAAGATCACAGTATTTTTTTTCCCCTTTAAAACATGCAAGTCCTAATTATTGTAAGCAAAGATTTCATGTTCTGTTGAAAGCCTAGGCATAATTCTATATAACATATTTTGAATCTTAGTTTTGCATCTGCTCCCTTTTTAGTATTAACTAAAATAAAAATGTAAAATGCATCTTCGTAGTTTTTTATGGTTCAAGTTCTTTTTTATACATATGCAAAGCATTCAAAAGAAATTTTACTATCAAGCACTGAGAAGTATGTACTAAACAAATATTGTAACATAGGCCAAAACAGTCATTAAGTTTAGAGAGTAATGTATATAATTTTGCTGCTTGGTTTGTAATGAGGTACAGACTGAATATATTCTGAACATATTGTTTACAAATTAAATAATTTTATAGTGCAGCATAAAGTGAGGTAAAAATTGTTTCACTAATTTGTCTTTATTTAATGTCATTTTTCCCTTTACAATATGAAGCACCAGGGTCAAGCTAGATGTGGATCAAATGAAAATATATTTTCTTTGTAATTTGCATGTTTGTGTAACTGATATTAATATAAACATGTCTGTTATGTAATCATATGCAAATATTTTGTACATTCTAAAGTTTATCTAAAAGGACAACAGCATAGATGTTATAATTTGCAATCCTAATAATGTTGATGTAAGATTGACAGTATGTTTTTCCAGAGTGTACTTCTAAAACATAGCTTGACAGTGAACACTCGTAAGTACTCGAGTGAAGAAAGCCACACGTAGATTTTAATCTTTGTAAGGCAATGTTTTTCTATTGTGGTAACACTGGTGTATTTGAAATCAAGTTGAGAGACATGCATTTTGTGTTTCAAAACAAATTGCCAGATTATCATAAAATAGTGTTTAAAAATTAGTATGTGTGACAATCGTAAAAGAATTTCTTTGAACTGTTCCTTCATCATATTTTTCATTTGCGTAGATGAGGGTGTTTCTTCAATGGGCATGTGGTGCTATTCAGCTGCACGGTGCCTGTCATCAGTTTCCACTGCTTTCCTTCTGCAGCACGTACCATACATAAAATATACTCTTGTCGCAATGACAGTTACAGTTACCCTGAATAGCCCACCTGTGCCTTTTCGATTGACCAATGCATTTTAATTTTCTTGACAATCTGAGACTTCTTGTAATGAATGTCTGGAATATATTCTATTGCTCTATGAACTGTTACTTACATTTTATATAATACATGTTAATAATAGTGTGACCCAGTCAGGACAATCATTTGTCCCTTTGAAGTCTTCTTATCTTAATCTATATTCTCTACCTCATTTCATGAAACTGTGCTTGCAACATGTTACTATTCTAAATGTGCATTCTGGCTGTTCAGCACCAGTCTTTGTTTTAAAATTTTGTTTTAAAAGAGTAGTGAATTGTTCTTATGGAAATGTCATAAAAGGAAAGATTATATATAACAATATAGATGATATATATATACACAAATATATATCTATATACATAAACACACATGTATGTACAAAATTATTTTTGTAATGCACTTGAGCACATATGGACAGTTGCCTGTGCAAGCATGTTGTCGGCCTGCCTGTGGGTCAGAGCTGCTCAGTACCCACCAGAGACAGCCACATCCACTTGTTCGGTTTACAGCCTTCAAGGAAAATCTGTGCATTGCAGTATTTTCAATTTGTACTCCTAGATTTAGAGATGGGGCATTACATAGGTTTACCTAAATGATGTGCTGTATGCAGTGAAGGGCAGACTTCTGCTTGTTTGGTCAAACATCCTGGTTTGATTAGTGCCAACACCAACACTTGGACCAAAGCAGTCATGAGTCTCTCTTTTAGTAAATGTTTTTAATGAAAAATGCTCATCAGTATGTAGTTTAGAGTGTGAACAGTTTCAAATCAACGAAATAGTATTTTTCATATTATCACTCTTTGCTATATTCGAGTCAGTTTTCAATTATTATTTGTTCAGTGAAGGGTGGGTATTTGTTAAATGCTTTATCAGTGTTACCCAAAGATACTAAAATACTCATCTCAAATCAGCTTTCAGAGGAAGGAAAAATGTTAATATCCCTTTCCTATTTTCTAGAAGTTAAAGAAAATAATTG